AGCTTCAATTATTCATTGATATCAACTCTTCTAAAACGAGCATGCTCCATATTTTCATCAAATTCTTTCTTTTAAAAACAATGTTAAAGTTTACGGTGGAATTATTAAAAATGAGTTAATCTAGTGGGACGAGATATTATATATTTTAAGCAAAGTTACAAGTTTGAATCTTCAGAGTAGCCCTATACTAAACCTTTACAAAATTTGATCTAAATTAGTCACTCGTGATTTATTAAAAAAGTTACCATGGAATTGGGTTGTATTTTTCAAATAATGTGTTGGGTAAAAAATAATTCCTCGGATAATGCCATGAAGAAATTATTTCGTGTAATAGGGTGAATGCTACAATGTGCCCCCAATGTCGCGCTGTCGTCCTGGCATCCCAGCCAACCCCTCGAAGACGCATGTGTGTCCATGCATTTATGGCCATCCCTCGAAGACACATGGCTTTACATGAGTGGCCGGCAAAGTCGCATGGCTTGTCATGTGTCTCCTTCCGGCGAAGTCGTCTCCCTCTTGTGTGGTCGGCAAACTTGCATACGTCTCCCTCTCGCATGGCCGACAAAGTCGCATGGCTTGCCCTACGTGTCTCTCTCTGCATGCCACTCACGTAGGTGCAGGCTGATAGGTAGCTGACATTAGAATGATAAAAGCTTAACCCATACCCCTATCCTAACCCATACCTTGTAATAACAAGTTGAATATAAATTTCTTTCAACTATATATATATATATATATAAGAATGAAATCTGAGCAATTTTAATTAAGAAAATTGATAGAGGGAGCATAAGAAATTGCAAAGAAGATTAACAGATGGAGCATTTCAGAAAATTTGGTGTGTGTTTTTCTTTCGTTATTCTAATTTTAGTATGTATTATATGGTAAATTGGTTTAAATTTATGTTATTTTGTCTGAAATTAGTCTAATAGGTTTTTTTTGCAAAAAGAAGGTGAATTAAGTTTGAAGAAATTTTATTTGAGGTATTTTACTATTGATTATTATGTTAATATTATTTGTTATAAATATTTGTTAATTTTACTATTGTTGTTATGTTAATATTATTTTTATATTGTATAATATCATTTTTACGATTTATAATCATAGTGTACCATAACTTTTCATTCTAAATACAAAAATTTAATTTGTAGAGAAAATTAGCAACAATTTTTCACGATTATCTATTATAATGAACATATTATGAAAAATAAGGTTGAAGTTGTTTTTCAGTTTAAAAGACCTATAAATATGATGTTCAAAAGGGACATCACATTTGTAGAAATGAAACAGAGGATAGAAAGGAAAATTTGAGCTACAGTTGATGGTTTGAAGTACAAGTTTATGGCGAATATACCTCAATACCACATATACCTCCATACCACATGCCTGAATCATCCAAAACTTCTAGTGAATTTTCGATTGGGATGCAATTTAGAGGAAAAATGAAGCTACGTTGGCGATTAAAGAGTATTGCATCAAAGTCCATGTTGATATCCATGTTGCAGAGTCCAACAAAAAAACTATATATGCGAAGTGTGTTAAATATGGCCCAAAGTGCAATTGGAAGATCAAAGTATCCAAAATTCAGAGGCACGATGCTTGGGTCATCACAAGGTACATGTTTGCGAAACTCAACCGAACAAGACCACCAGATTTTGGACTCCAATGTAATATGTGAATAGGTGAAGGTGTTGGTTTAGAAGAATCCAAGGATCACTTGTTCAGTGTTAGTTACATCTATTCGAAGCCAATTTGGATACCAAGTAAAATACGACAAGGTTTGGAATGCGAAAATGAAGGCAATGAAGTTGGCATATGGAGATTGGGATACATCATACAATGAGCTACCACATTTGTTACAAGCAATGAAGCAATTTATCCCGGGAACCATAGTGAAGTCTCAAACCATGCTATTTTATGTTGAAATCTTCTAGGTTATCGTACATTCTCCGCACGAAAAATGAAATGCATGTGTTTCTGGCCTCTAACGTTCAATCAATGCACTTATCAAAACCAGGACCAACATATACTCTCGAACAAATATAACATAATAAAATCTAGCCTCTTCTAGATGATATTCAATTAAAGGGTGTGGCTTAGCGAGAATTTTGATTCGATGATGGGGGACTTGCTGCTCGTATTCCTACAATTATAATATTCATGAAATTAATCAATTAATCATAAAATAAACTTCTACCATTTAATGATAATATTTTCTTTTCTCAAATAAAAATATTTTATTAAATAATAATAACACCATCGCTCCCAAATGGCTCGAAATATATTAAGCATCAAGATGAAGTAGTTTATTTTGTTCTACCATTTGAACGAATATGTAGAAAAATAATTTTAATAACAATTTAATATAAACATCAAAGAAAAAATAAATTTACTTGACCCAATTATTTATTTTTTCTTTTTCTTTTTCTTCTTTATTTCTTTATTTCTTCTCATCATCTTCTTCTTTACTCCAGTGCCTCCCTCCCTTCCATACACCCAATATCTAATAAACTTACCTCTATTATTGTTTCACCAACTGACTCCCAACCTACCTCTATTATTGCTGCAAAATGCAACCTTTATTTTTGCCTTATGCATGGGCTCAGGCTGCCATGCATGCATCGTCATTGGTGCCCCTTACACGGGCATAGACTATCGCGTCAAGGGTGTTTGGGGAGGACATGCATGTAGTGAGAGATGCCATGCTTCTCGTTCGTCTTTGAGGGGTTTCTGGGTGAGAGATGCATGGCTCCCCATGCATTATTGAGGGGGTTTATGGCACGCCTTTCACCATGCATGCAAGCATGCAGTGGAGGGTGTAGGGTTTATGGGGCTAAAACACATGGAATACTATTCGATCTTGGTGGGGAAAAACACATGTAGCATGGTGCGACCTTGGTGGGTTCCGGCTAAGTCGCGAGGAGTATAATGCAACTCCTATGTACACTGTAGCATTCACCCTATTCGACAAAATAATCTCTCAATATCATTATCTGATGAAATTTTTTCCTCAGCACATTATTTGAAAAATTCAGTCGTGGAATTGAATTGTATGAAGTTTCAAATCAAAATTCATTTTTTGTTTAAATTTTAAATGCATTAAACATTAGATACAATTTTTAAAATTTTAGGTTTAATGTTACGTAATGAAAATAATTTTTAAAGGTAAAAGGGCATATGAAATCTTATACTTTAAATAATTTAGCAGTCAATATGGCTCATCACTCAATAATGTGAATTACCACTTCAACATTATAGTGGTTATCGACGAAAATTGTTGATCAAAATGTCATATTAGATTTGTTTTATGAGTTTGAAGGTCACATTGAGTGAAAAAATAATTCAAGGATCACATTGATTTTTTTCAAAGGTATATAGACCTTAAAGGTCTTTTTACATTTTTTAAAAAGAAAAATATAATAGTACAAAAATATCTTAAATTAAATTATGAATATTATTTTAAAGGATAAAGTATACAAATGATCCTTGACTATAGGATAATGCTTTATTGAGTCCCTTGACTAATAATGTTACAAAATGGTCCATCGATTATAAGGAGTTGTTTTGTTGAGTCACTCGACTATTAAAAGTTACAAATAGGGATGGGCATGGGTCGTGATGGGTCGGATTTTTGGTCCACTCGACCTGACCTGAGAACAATAACACCTCCACTCGAAATCTGACCCGACCCACATAATATATACCCTCCACCCGACCTGACTTTTTGAGATAAAATTCGAACTCGACCCGACCCAAAATAATAATAAAAATATTATTTTTATTCAATAAAAATAGTGATTTAATTGAAAAAATAATATATAGAGGGGTATTATTGTAATTATTCCTAAATATATAGGTACAGTTATATTTATTTTGGGTCAGGTCAGGTATTTTTACCCTAAACCAAATTCGACCCGACCCGAACAAAACCTTTAAAAAAACCCGACCCAAACCTAATTTTTTTAAAAAAAACCGACCCGATCGAAACCCGTCGAGTCGGGTTCGGGTCCCATGCCCATCCCTAATTACAAATGACATTCGAATATTTATTATGTTTCAAACTCTTTATTTCTCGTTAAAATTTTGACGACATTCTGAGTTGTACGTTAATCTACTGACTAATATATGATAAAATTTGATCTCATACTCTCAAATGATTACTATATCTCTTGCAACATGTTAACGTCCAACTCAGATGACCACTACTTTTTTTTAATGAAAAAAGAACGAGTTTGGAATATTATGAATAGTCAAGTGACTATCGTGTAACTTTTAATTGTCGAGGGACTCAACAAAATAATTTCCTATAGTCGAGGAACCATTTTATAATATCTAAAAATCAAGAGATTTAATAAAATAATATGCTATAATGGGGGAGATTATTTATATATTTTACTCTGTCTTATATACACTTTAAGTTTTAAAATATTTTTTATATCTGTATTCAAAACACAAAACTCCATTCTAAATTAAGTTTTAAAAATATTTTTATATTTTTCTTCAAAAAAACAAAACTCCATTCTAAATTAATTCATAAACTAAAAGGTATTCCATAAAATCTTCAAATTATCTATAACATTCTAATTTAATTCTTTCATCAACGTAATGTTAATTTTATTAATTTAAAAGTGTTGAGAATTAAATTTATGATGTTTAAAATTTTTAAAGCAGTATATAATATATAAATTAATAATAATCTTATTGATATTTTGAAAATTTAATTATTTTTTTAAAAGGTTAGGATGGGCTTGGACTTTTAATATAATTGACACCAATTAAGTAATTTCGTAGGCAAAGTTTTTTTAAGATCTTAAATCGGAGCACACTACCTTCTTCTAATCACATACTAATGAGAAAATTGAATCTATTTGGACGCGGGCCAACCATGTCGAGATGATTGCCTAATTGGATGATGGATGGTAACACGTCACAAGAATACACGGCAGCTATTTATTGGTTCTAAACAACAATTAAGACCCGGATATTTCACCGGGTCTACTCAACAGAAAAACCCGAAGAAGCCCCGGAAAAAAAATCCCAAAGAAACTGAAATCAAGAGGAACCAATCGCACTTAATATTTTAATAATCCGTGGAGTTTTCATGTAACAACAGCTTAGCAGATTTCTGTCTCGATCCAGGATCAGAATTAACAGGTAATACATAAACCTCTTTGGTTTTTAATTGTTTTAATATTAATCACACTATAATGTTTCGAAATTTAACAGGTTGGTTCAACCACTAATTTCAATTTATCGTCTTAATTTTCGTTTGCTATTGATTAATGGGTTCTTAAAAAGCTTTTGGGTAAGCACGATTCTGGGTGTTGAATTTGCTGGGAAAGGAACAAGGTTGAAAGGGTAAAGCCTAATTCAATAACAAAAACGAGAATGATGATTTTTTTGTTTGTTTGGTAAATGGTGGGAAAATGAAGATAAATGAGAAACGTTTGATTGTACTAGCTTATTTGGTATATTATTTATTTATTTTTAATGTTGGGAATTATTCTATTTTAGGGTTTCTATGGATTTTGATTGTAACTAGGAAATCAAATAAATTACATAGAATTTTGTTGTTGAAAGGGGGAAAACTGAATCACTTTTGATGGTTCTTGGAATGATTAGTATGGGTAGTAATTTTTGGGGTGGTTATGAGTTTGACAATTTCTATTGATAGGGTTGAGGATTAGAGTTGTTCTGAATGGGGATTCAAACAACGGGATCCCAAAGCAATGACCAACAGCCTCTTTCACAGCCATCTCCATTGATGAGGCAGAATTCATGGTATAGTCTCACTCTTAATGAATTTGAAAACCAGATGGGGAACGTGGGGAAGCCCCTAGGTAGTATGAACCTTGACGAACTTCTTAATAATGTATGGAGTAATGAATCGAATCCAACCTTGGGGATGAACAACGGAAGTATATCATCATCGTCTTCTCTCCCACGTCAGGCTAGCCTAACTTTGGTTAGAGCTCTGAATGGGAAGATGGTTGATCAAGTTTGGACTGAGATACAACAAGGTCAGAAGAGGAGGTATGGTGAGGAGATGAAGGATCATAAAAGAGAACCAACGCTTGGTGAAACCACGTTGGAGGATTTTCTGGTACAAGCAGGACTTTTTGTTGCTGATACATCATTGGCTCCTACTATGGAATTGCATACACAACAGAGTTTACCACTGCAGCTCAGATCGTCACCTACCCCTTCGATTGGCACAATATCGGACACACCAATGACAGGGCGGAAAAGAGATGCTGAAGACGCATTTGAGAAGAGCATTGAGAGGAGGTTAAGGAGAAAGATCAAGAATAGGGAATCTGCTGCCCGATCACGTGCCAGAATGCAGGCAAGTGTTTAACATGTATTTGGCTTATTGATAGTTCTCAGCTATTTGTTCCTTTAAGTTTATGCAGCCATGGTCTTCTTGTTTTGCACAGGCTTACCATAATGAGCTGGTTAACAAGGTTTCACGATTAGAAGAGGATAATATAAAGCTCAAAAGAGAGAAGGTAGAATCTTTGCCCATATTTCTCCGGTTTGACATCTACACCCGAAACTTGTTTTTCAGAGGATATAATTGCACATTTTTTGTTTGTTTTTACTTTTTTCTCATAGATTTTGTAAGTGAATAATGATTTGGCCAGTATCACTCAAAGCTTTATGACGTCAATAAGGCACTGGGGTTTCCCTCTTGACATACTGAATATCGGAACAGCTAACCTATTCTTTTAACATGCTTGCAGGAATTCGATATAAAATTTCAGTGTGAAACATCTGAACCAAATTATCAGCTAAGAAGAACAAGTTCTGCCATTTTCTGACGTGTTTTCCGTTGTTTCAAGTTTTCTAGTTGCCAAAATATTAGGCTATCCAGTTGGCTTGTCGATGGAACTGCTTCGGGAATTAATCCAAGGGTTTGGTCTTTTGTACTTTTATAATTATATATGTTGGTTTTCTTCAGCTTCCATAAACTGCCATGTTTATAAGTTAGGCTCTGTTTATTTGGCTGAAAGACAACTGAATTGGTGTTGATTAGGGTTAATTCTACCTGTAAGTTAAAGCAAAGTAGAAATAGTTAGCACTGCGGTAGAAGACTGTGTCTAACAAATGAAAAATCTTATGCAAATATTAAGTGTTGTGATATTTTCCCATGAAATGTAATGATATTTGCAGGTGTTTTTCATTCTTAAGCTCCACCAATAGCATCAAGCAAGAAATATTGCTTTAAGAAAGAGTAATTAAAATTCATGTGGCAAAATTACAGACTCGTTCAGATGATCTACTTGCTCTTAAGAAAGAGTAGCTTTTATATGAATTTGTCTTCATTCACTTCTTCGACATGCTTTTTAATATCGTTTCCTTGAGTTTTAATACGCTGTCTTGATATCATCCCTAGCTGTGTTTCTTTTCTTTGGGAGGGGCATGGTGATCAGATTCACATAAAATTGCACAATTATTACCTAAGCACAATACAGTATTTGGGTGTGGCACATGCAAATAAATTTACCAATTCTTCATCTAACAATTTCATGAAATTTGTTTACTTGCAACTTTCTCAATCAAATACAAGTTTTGTAGAAAAGAGCTGGATTACTTGAGAGAGAAAATTAGCCAACTATGGCATATATCTCTGTAAAATGGGAAAAGAGAGTCTGGCCAGGAGATGCAATAGTATACAAGAACCATACACAACTTCCATTTTTTTCCCATTACGCCAATCGGACTAATTATTTAGCTCAATACGACACAATCAAAATTATTTAAGGAACTACGATATTTGGTACAATGTTCATGGAACTCATCACACTAACATGATAAGTTCCACTAGAAAATATATTTCAATGGACCCAGATGTTGGGTCCAATAATTTTTTGGAAATCATCATATCGATGTGATGTATTTCATTAAAATAATATTTTTTGAATTTAGAGATTGTTTTTTTTTTTCAAAATAATTTTTTCTAGGAAAAAAACCATGGAATTTGTCATGCCGATATGACGAGTTCCAATGATCATATTGATAATTTTTATTAGATGCAAAGTACAAAATTTTACATTCGAAATATTAACTCATACATCAAATTACATCAGAAACATTAACCTACAATACATCAGAAACATTAACCCCCTACATTACATTACAATACAATAGAAGCATTAAGTGGTTACCCACACATCTTAGTCTTCATAGTTAGTTGACTCGTCAGATATTGAGTTAAGTTTTTTAATACTCCATTCTTTCTCTTGTTTCCTTCTCTATATAAATAGTTCAAGTTCTTGAAGTTCAGCTTCTATATTGTCAGGAGATTTTGTTTTTGATGTGGAAGGAGTTGCGACTTGCTTGTGATACTCCACAAATACGTCAACATTACTCACCAAATTGGTAATGTATGCGTCAATCATTGTTCGAACTGCAACATCATTGTTCAGATAACCCATTGATGAATGTTGTGGAACCGAAAAGGTTGGAAACATGAACTGTAGTAAAGAAAGTGTTAAATCTTCAGTAGCTCCAACCTTGTTTGAAATTTTCGTCGTCAAGTCAAAAAGTCGAATGTATCCCTCGAAGGAGATGATAAAAGATTTTCCCTTACAATAAATTGTTGCTAAAATTGTTATCATGAAATTTTTTGAAATATGAACTTGAATAATGAAGTTTTATGTCTGATATAGGCATGACTATATATAACACTGAAAAAGTTATGGTGAATTATGATAGGTTATGATGAATTATTAAATATGGTTAAAAACATTATTCAATTGTTTGATATATCACTAAATTGAAGTGATATATCACTGAAAAGTTTAGAAATGAAGTGATTGGGCACTGAAAATGTTTTTGTTATTGTGCATTAAATGGTCTATGAGAAAAAGATGTTTTTCATTAAAGAATTGGTAAAAAACATCGTTAAATGGTCTGATATATCACTGAAAAGTTTCTATCATTGTTCATTAAATGGTCTTTGAGGAAAGGACATTTCCATTAAAGCATTGGTAAAAACATCATTCAATGGATTGATATATCACTGAATTGAAGTGATATATCATTGAAAAGTTTCTGTCATTGTGCATTAAATGTCTATGAGAAAATGACGTTTTTCATTAAAACATTGGTCAAAAACATTATTCAATGGTATGATGTATCACTGAATTAAAGTGACACATCACTGAAAAGTTTCTGTCATTGTGAATTAAATGGTCATTAATATTATGTGAATCTTCACAAAACTGCTATTTTTTTGAATACACAAAACTGCTACTTTTTACAACTTCATTGAAGCAACATAAAATTTTCTCAAACAATGGCTGACAATTTTTTTACAGATGTCCATTCTAATGGTCAAATTATACAAATTGATGATGGTGCTATGTTTACATCACAGAGGTCCATAAACATGATGTTCCCTATAGATGTATCTCATCGCAAAATTAAGTAGAAAATTGAAAGAAAACTTGGAGCTTATGTTTTATGTTTGAGTTATCGACATATAATCTTAAAGACTCCTCTCACATATAGAACAATCTAGCTTAAGTATGATGTCGATGTTTTTGTTACGGTTGGACTAAATCAATCATCAAATAATCAAATGATCGATATTTATGCTAAAATGACAAATCCATTAGATCTTCCCATCTCATAAACAACTTCTCCCGTCATTGAAGAACCAATACCATCTATACCACATGAAAGTGGTACATATAATAACCTTGTTGGGTGATTTGGTGAAAGCCTTGTTGAGTTTAGCGAGGATGATGAAATTATCATTCCAATGATGGAAGACCACGACACACCAATACTTGATGATTCTAATATCACCGAGACTGTTTCAAAGGGATAAGGTTTCGATATTAAGGGTGATGTATGGGAGGCAGTGGTTTCTCACAGGGTCATTGATTGCAAAATGCTCTAAGGGGTACCTCCAACATCAGATCAACGGAGTTAACAGTTAGGTCCCAATTTGAAACTAAAAAAGATTTACAACTAGTAGTGAGCAAGTATTATATCAAAGCCCCTATCGAATTCTATGTGGTAGAGTCTGATCAAAAGACATATTTCATTAGGTGTATAAACCATAATGTCGGGTGTAAGTGAAGGATGCAAGTTTCGTACTTACAACGGAAGATATTATGAGAAGTGAAAAGGTTCAACGATCAACACACATGTACATGTGAAGCTTCTGGTAAAAAAAACTGAAGGATAATAATTTCAGTGATAGTGTGATCCATTTGTAGTAAATTTGGTTATACTCTATCTGACTATAAATCATGTATGGCGAAAAGGAAAACAATGACACTGTTGTACGACGATTGGGATAAGTCATATAATGAGCTACCAAATTTATTGCACACAATGAAAATTTTTCATCCCTGGAATCATTGTACGATCTTATACTCATCCCGCGACCACGATTCTTAGAGAAGTTATCCTAGGAAAAAGAGTTTTTGTAACACCCCTATCCCGTATACATTCTCGTATATGAGCTAAAGATGTCATATCAATTGTATAAAACTTATATTATTCAAAATCTAGTAAAATATTGTTTCGTTTAAAATCGACATTAGAATAATTAGTTTCATTTAAAAAATATAATATAAAATTTATCTATACGAAAATAAAATACTAATCATATATAATTTAATCAAAAGTAGTTCAGACATATTCGATTCAGAGTATCAAAAGACATATAAATATATACATGCCAGCTAGAATAACAAAAACATCGAGAGGATGTCATATTGATTGTGGATGTCTAAACTTATATGCTAAAATATGGGATGTCGTGCCTGGCTCCTTACTCCTTTGTGTGCTTTTCTTTACCTACGTGTGAAATGATCATACACTAAGTTTTCCACTTAATGAGGCAATATAATTAAATAAATAACATATAAAAATAAGTAATTATGTAAAAATATTATTAAAATTAATCATGCATAAAATAAAAATAATTATCAAAATTCTTTACTTTAAAACATGTATCAAATCTATACTATTTTATTTCGATTCTTATCGTTGCCCACTGTACTATAATGAGAATATATGGTATATGAGTCTATGATTGAGTGTTCTATGCCATGTGCACTATAACTGCCTATGACTATGTTGCACATTTAGTGTCTGTGATTGCACCATAGGTGCCCTGTGAATGTACATGTACTGTAGAACACAACAACACTATACCTATGAATCTCGAATACATAAGTGTATCCAGTAACTATGATGTACATAAACGTACCTTTGTGTGATCGATCAATAACAGTCCACCTCTTGGCATGCCAATTGTACCACTAACTCTCAAGTTTCATACAATGGGCTTTGCTCGAAAATCATATACTATTTTGCATATAAAATAACCATACATTCGAATATAATAAAATTTAAATAAATGTTATATTAGGCAGTTCATACCCAAAACTATCATATGATATGAAATAAAAAATTAATAAAATCTATGTTCAAATACTATTTTAAAACAATTTTCTATAAAAATGAATGAGGTTGACTCATCGCAAGTCTTCATCTTATTATCTACTATAAAAAGTTTAGTTGTACTCACATATTGCCTCACTTGTAGCTTGAATTGTCAAGTTCGAACCACTATCCAATTCGTTCTTTTCTTTTAGTTTACTTAAACTTCGATTACGACTGCGATCTACCGAAATTCAATTATCCAACAAAATAAATTTCAAACATATGTTAGTGTCTAACTAACATATTAAGCACATATTCGAATAAAATGTCAAAAACACAATAAATATATATTTGATACTATTTTCTCCAACTTAATTAATTTCTAATCTAACTTTTGCAAAATACCCTTCTTAGTTCTTAAAATTAATATTCCATAACCAAAATTCACTTTGTTGGGGTTTTGCGGAAGCTCGAATCGATAACCGAAGGGGTTCTCCAAGAGGGGTCGAGTCAATTTTTGTGTTTAGGGAGTAAGAAGATTGAAAGATAGAAAATTGCATAGCGAGTTATAGTGGTTCGACTTCTCAACCAAGTCTACATCCACTACCTTAGCTCCTCACCAAGGATTTTCCAAAAAAATTCACTAATTTGTTCTTTCTTTTTACAGGAAAAAGAGATAACCTTTACAAACTC